CCACAAAGGAGATAGTGTCAACACAGGCAGGCTGGGGCCACAAAGGAGATAGTGTCAACACAGGCAGGCTGGGGCCACAAAGGAGAGAGAGCGTCAACACAGGCAGACTGAGGACACAAAGGAGATAGTGTCAACACAGGCAGGCTGGGGCCACAAAGGAGATAATGTCAACACAGGCAGGCTGGGGACACAAAGGAGATAGTGTCAACACATGCAGGCTGGGGCCACAAAGGAGAGAGCGTCAACACAGGCAGGCTGGGGCCACAAAGGAGAGAGAGCGTCAACACAGGCAGACTGAGGACACAAAGGAGAGAGTGTCAACACCGGCAGGCTGGGGACACAAAGGACAGAGCGTCAACACAGGCAGGCTGGGGACACAAAGGAGATAGCGTCAACACAGGCAGGCTGGGGCTACAAATGGGAGAGCGTCAACACAGGCAGGCTAGGGCCACAAATGGGAGAGCGTCAACACAGGCAGGCTAGGGCCACAAATGGGAGAGCGTCAACACAGGCAGGCTGGGGCCACAAAGGAGAGAATGTCAACACCGGCAGACTGAGGCTCGCTTAGGTTAGGGTGTGATGCTGAAACACAGAGACGCCTCCCTGGGCCACACAGGGCACAAATCCACCATATCAAAATAAATTACTAACCTGAAATAGACATAAATGTAAGTGTGTGGAGGACACAGGCAGAAGAATTGCAACATAAGCACAGTTTAATCCATTATTTGCAGTATTATACAAATGTGAAAATCAGAATGTGTTTTTGCCTGGCTGAGTGAAACGGCAAAAACCAGGAAAAGCTGAGAAGCAACGGTAAGGTCTTGTCTGCTTAATAATGCAGCAAGCGTTGGGGGGGGGGGGGGGGGCGGACTGAGGCTGGAAGTGAAAATGACAGGTGAGACCATATGTGGCCGGGGGAGGGGGGGGAGGCTCAGCACAGACCCCTGTTACCTCCTCACTTCTAGGGACAGAACAGTCACTGACTTACTACATCAGCAAACGTGAGAGCGGAGACGGCACAGCCACGCGGGCGGAACCAGCGCCTTTCGCCTCCTGTGAAGGTGGAGTCCCTATCAGACGCGTGCAAACAGGAGGCCTCTTCCCAGGTGAGGCTGTCAGGGTGGTGGGCGGGGTGGCGAGGGCGTGTTTAACGCAGGCGCACCGTGTCACCGTGACGAGATGCACAGCGGCTGTGTCTGACCGCGATAGCCAGTCCAGAGACTCCCCTTCTGGCACGCAGTAGTGATCACCGTAAAATACATCGATGTGAGTACTTAAATACTATTAGTTCATGGCATACACACACGACAAATATCATTATCAGAATTGCAGAGCACTGAACAGCCCAGTACTGGATAGGCAGTTGGAAAGATGATGGATGGATGGATGGATGGATGGACCCCTGTGATGGGTTGACGCCCCATCCTTGGTTATTTCTTGCTTTGTGACCCTGCATAGGACAAGCAGGTACAAAAAATGAATGGATGAATGGATGGGTGATAATGAGTAAAATAATAAGAGGACCTGCATAGAAAATGGCTGTAGGGATGATGGAGCAGGACGGGCTGGTGTAATCCCTTCTGGATCCCCAGTAGAGCTCTGGCCTGACAATAAACAACACTCTACTCATTCCCATTTAATCCCAGCCAGGAGGAGAGAGTCACCGCTCTGACCTGCAGATGGTCACATCACATCATTTATCCATAATTGATGAAACAGGGAGGTCAGATGTAACGGCCGCCATTGCTCTGAGAATGGGACTGTCGCTTACTGACAAAGCAAGAGAAGGGGTGCCATCCGTCGCGCCATGGGGGGGCTCGCACCAGGAGAGGCGGCGGCCCCCGAGGGAGATGCCCCTAGGCGCAACGGGCAGCGGCGGGGGCGGCACGAGACCAGAGCGAGTGAGCGAGCAAAGGAGGAGAGAGCAAGATGGAGGGATGAGCTCTCAGCGGAGGGGAGAGCGATCGCGGCCCGCCTCGCTTTCATCTCGGAGCCGGTGTCGGCTGTAATATGGGCGCTTGTCAGGACGCCGAATCCCTGCAGGACGGCGGCCCCAGCCCGCGGGCGTGAGCCGGGCTGCGGGCGCGGAACCGAGCTGCATGGCTAAATTCCTGGCTGGACTTTTATTTTCAGGCATCAAAGCCCCGCTTTCATTCGCTTCTCTATTTTGCATAAGTGAACACGGAGGGGTCAACGAAAACAAACATGGCAGCTCCACTGACTTCCAGGCACTTATGTGTTATTGATCAGCCTGGTTTTAAACTGCAAATGCCAAGCAGAGCGTCGAACGGCATCACTGTCCATCTCACCTGATGTCTGTATAAGGGAATCGTTTGGACCATCGTGTCGAAAATTAACTTTGAGTTTTGAGATCTGAGCAGCAGCCTCCTATTCAGCGCCATCTGTTACTCCTGTCAGCTTTAGAGCCGCCGCAGAGCAGGACTGCAGCCGCTCATGCACCATCAGACAGGAAGCGTTTAAAAATGAATAAACGCGCAGTGAATTTATTTGGCTACGGGGAACGTATTTCTTATTTAAACGGCGATTCTCAAATCCCATTCAGAAGTCTGGGAGTACAGAAGTTCAGCAGATCGGATCTGAGTTTGGGGCAGGACCCCAGCCCAGCCTGGTTAGCGACGGTGACCGGGGGCACGGGTGCCGGTTGGGGCCCCACTGTATGGTGGGGGACATCTTGAAAAAATCTTGAATAAAGAAAGAAGGATTCCAAATTATATGTTGGATGTTAATAAATTATAAATGCTATTATTTTTATAGGGCGACATGGTGGTGCAGTGGTTGGCACTGTTGCCTCACACCTCTGGGACCCGGGTTCGAGTGTCCGCCTGGGTGTGTGCAGTTTGCATGTTCTCCCCGTGTCGTCGTGGGGATTCCTCCGGTCTCCCCCCACAGTCCAAAGACATGCTGAGGCTAATTGGAGTTACTAAATTGTGAATGGTGTGTGAGCGAATGGTGTGTGAGTGAATGGTGTGTGAGTGAATGGTGTGTGAGTGTGCCCTGCGATAGGCTGGCCCCCTGTCCAGGGTTGTTTCCTTCCTCGTGCCCGTTGCTTCCGGGATAGGCTCCGGACCCCCCGCGACCCAATAGGATAAAGCGGGTTGGAGAATGAATGAATGAATGAATGAATTGTTTTTATATAAGCCCAACATCTTTAATGATAAACAAAGCTGTAGCTGAGATATCTTTCAACCCAGACACCTCTCTCGACATCGGGAGTGTGTCTCATACATGTCGATCAAGCAAAACAGCCACACCTCCACGTTTAGACTGGCAGAAACCAGCCAGCCTGCCCTGTGATTGGTCTGTTGCTACCCATGAGGGCCGCTCAGCATTCAGGTTTAGAGAGGGGACACAGCTGTCAGTGAAGGCTAGCTGAGTTAGCGCCATGGCTAGCGTGCGCTGACCCTGGAGTGCGGGGACACTCACTCTCCTGGCCGCCTGGTGGTCCTGCACGAGTCGGTACGCCGATCCAAGTCGATATGCTGCTTCCGCTTCAATCTTTTTATCTCCAGCTAGAAACAAATAACCAAATTAAACAAGGCTGAAGATTAAAGACAATGACTAAACGGAACACACAGCTTGAGTGCTTATATCTGCGGTGTGATTATTGCACCATCAGGAGGAGATTTACCCAGAAGCCACTGGGCCCACGGCCTCGGGGAGCCTCTGTTCGATAGGCTGGCCCTGTCCTCGGCTTTAGTGCCCTGTGTTTTATGGCACAGCGCAGCCACTGTGACATGGAGCCGCTCTTAAATAACTCGCCTCGGGCTGCACTAACACCTTAAATCAGTCTCTGTGTATAACGGCAGCAACCTGAGGAGAGAGACGCTCTTCATGAGGCAACCAGAGCCGCATCTAGGGAAGCCAGGCCACCCGCCACAGATAATTAATAATTAGCACTGCTGGTTTTTCACTGGTTACATAAACGGCAGCACACAGCAGACCAGGGAAAAATTTGTGCCTCATTCCGAGTGACTACTGTTGTAAGACCAAGACTGAAATGAAGCTGTTTAGGGTTTTCTGTGCCTCATCCTGCTGTGTTAAAGCCAAAATGCTCTCCTGCATTTGTTCAACTGGTCAAACCTGTCGCTGTTCCTGTCAGCATGTTCCTGTCCCTACCTGCTGTCCCTGAGTCACACTAACTCTCCTGGCCAGGTCGAAGTCACAGTCGTATATCGTGATTTTGGGAAAACGGCTCCAGAAATAGACGGGACCAGTAAATGGGCTGGACTGAACTATACTGTAAATGGGCTGGACTGAACTATACTGTAAATGGGCTGTACTGAACTATACTGTAAATGGGCTGTACTGAACGGCAGCACATGCAGAACTCGGGGGAGAAACAGGAGGATTAATCTTCTAAGCTTTGGTTTATGTTCCACGGTTGACATAACAAATAAAAGCACCAGCTTTCAGCACAGGGAATCTCCTCTGAACTTCAGAAGCCTCCTGCAAGGTTTACTTCACTAGGAGCCTAATAACACTTAATTTCTTTCATGTTCTTTGCGTTTGTCTTCCTGCAGTGTGGGAAACGTGGAAACGCAGAGGCAGGAGGAGAAGCACCTCCTGCAGAATATCAGAAGGTTCCAGATGTTTCCTGTCAAGTGGCAGCTGTCACTGTGTCGGAGTGACTGGGGACACTCACTGACCCTACCCGTCACCCCCCCCCTCAGTGAAGCACCAGTATACATGAAGGTCGAGACCAGGGGTTCTCAATGTCCAGTTTGAAGTACAAAAATACAATGTAAACTACTAAACCATGCACACACATAATAATCCCCCCAAAAAAAGCATTAAAAAGTTCCCTTTTTTTTTGTATCTATATATATATCTGAAATCTCTAAGATTATTGTTAATTCATTAAAGTTCTTGAAATGTTGTTTTGGTATTGAAAACAGACCCTTGACCTGACTGAACAAAATGTGATGTGGACCACTGATCTAAAAGTTTATGAACCACTGGTAGATGTGGGGTAGATGACTGCTCTCACAGACTGACCCCCCCCCCCCCGGTAGGTAAATGGCTGCTCCCTCCCCACTGGGTAAATGGCTGCTGCTACACACCTTCTTTTGTCATCTCGAAGGCCTTCAGCAGAGTTTCGATGGCTACTTGGTGCTCCTCATTCTCCAACATCTTGTTTGCGAGTGATGAGTAGATGGTGGAGAGACTCTGGCAGGTCCGCGCGAAGCAGCTCCGGCCCGCCCCGTCCGTCCATGTCCTGCCGGCTGTCAGGCGATGGGAAGCTGTGGCGCACTCCAGTGCGCCTTCCAGACGCCCTGAATCACATTAACCCGTCACTCAGCACTGCCAGGGAAATCCGGCACTGAGTCAAGGAATAAACGCAGTTATCAAAGCTGTCTGCAGAGCAGCAGCATGGTGCCGGGGAATAAAGGAGCCGTAAACGTCTTTCTGTGAGGGAAAACTCAGCTAGACACGCTGTACACTGAAGGATGTTAACAAAAACATATTCTATTATGCAGAGAAACAGTAAGAAACACAGATTTAAACGCAGAATGATGACATTGGTATCAATAAGTGTATGTCAGCAGTTTCTGTTAACACTCTGCTTATAAAATCAGTGTCTATAAATGAACGACGATACTATTACTAGGTTCTTACTGTCAGTGGGCAAAAGTACCTTGATTCAAGTTGTTACTCTCAATATACTAAATACAACATCAATACTTCCATCCATTCTCCAAACCGCTTATCCTTCTGGGTTGTGGGGGTTCTGGTGCCTATCCCAGAAGCTACAGGCATGAGGTGGGAACAACCCAGGACGGGGGGTCCAGCCCATCGCCGGGCACAGTCACACACCATTCACTCACACATGCACACCTATGGGCAATTTAGTAACTCCAATTAGCCTCAGCATGTCTTTGGACTGGGCGGGGAAACCGGAGGAAACCCCACGACGACACGGGGAGAACATGCAAACTGCACACACATGTAACCCAGGCGGAAACTAAAACCTGGGTTCCAGAGGTGTGAGGCAACAGTGCACCACCATGCCACCCCCATATCAATACAGTAAATCTCAATACAATAACGTTTACCTCATCTAATCTACACTTACTTACAGCCATATAATATATCAAATGTTGTCTAATTTAAATGTATCACGTGGTAACAGTAAATAGTCACAGTTTGCTACTGGTACGGTGCTAGTTGTGCACACACTATGCTTCGTGGGTATACTCTCCGCCACACGGCTACACACGCTATGCTCAATCGCGGATATACTCTCCGCCACACGGCTACACACACTATGCTTCGTGGGTATACTCTCCGCCACACGGCTACACA